CCCTTATCCCCCGCACTCCAGTCACTGCTCCCCTCCACTTTCCCCTGCCAGCCAGTGGTTTGCATTAGACCTGGAAGGCACTCACTCCCACCTCTTCGTGCCATTCCTGCTAATTCTCAGGCCAACCTTTACCCAATTCCAGAGAGGCTTGGGGAAAGCTGCTCACCTCCTAATCTCTCTACCACGTGAGGAGCTAAGCTGGTTACCAGGTTCCAGACCCAGAGTCCAAATGCCAGCTTAGTCCCCAAGTCTCCTGCTTTCGCCCTGGGCCGGCTCTGTCTCTCCTGATTCTCCAAAGGAAGGGTGCTCAGGCCTAAATTCCTAAACAAGCATGTGGAGCATCCAGCACTAGATAAAAAGTGAGTAGGGCTTCCCTCTTCCCTCACAGTGCAAACTGAGCAAAGTCCTGTGATTTCAGGCCACCGGCCAGAAATTCCTAGGAAGAAGGGGCACATCAGCCCATTCCCATCCTTCTGGAAACATTCAAGTTAACCTCCAACCCAGGGCCAATCCCCAATTGCCACAGACCTGGGACCCAGACTCCATGGGCCCAGGGCATCTCTTGTGTTCTCCCCAGCCCCAACCACTCCGCTCTGTATTGAAGGCTTTCTGTCTCTAAAATCATGGTGAGACTGAAGCTGGGTGCATTCAGCAGCTCCTACTCACCTGCAAAAGTGTAGGTGTTGCATTATAGGGCCTCAAGTCCTGTGGCCCATGAACTTGCCACTCCTCTCATCATTTTCCCTGGTGACCTACCTCTGTATTCCACATTCCTCCAGGCCCCATGCAGTCTCACTACAAAATCAGACCTGGGAGCCCCAACCCCATAAGCTTTACCCATCAGCAAGGGGATATTCCTAACCCACTGGCCGTCGTAGAAATCTTCTGCTCGTATTTCTACGATGCCATGTTAAAACAGAAAGAGCCCTGGGCCACTCACATAACCTCTCTTGGTCTTAGTCTCTTACAGAGAGTCCTTAATGACCTCTAAGTGTCCTTCTAACTCCAGAATTCTATGCATCTATGGAAGTCCCAGAGGGGCCGTAAGCCCAGAATATGAAAGTATCTTCCTTCCAGGAGTGGATGGGGTGGCATGAGGGCTCTCACCTCCCCCATTTTTGTAGCAGAGATAGGGAAACCTCCAGACGTTGCCTAAGCCAATGATCTCCCCGGCCACTGACAGCACAAACTCAATCTTGTTGTTCCAGTGCCCCCGCTCCAGGGTGCCATCTTCCTCCTTCTTTTCCATGACTGGATACGCTGGTTTTGTCTCTCCATTACTGGTTGTGCCTGAGACCCTGCTATCCATCCCACCTGGAAAACAAGTGGGATGCTCTGTTACTGTGGGGAACCCCAGAAGGAAAGCCCTCCTCCTCCTCCTTTTACCAACAAATCCTTAAGGGAATGAATGCACTGGAAGAGGTGAATTTCCACTCGCTTCCCTGTAGACCCAGGCCCTCTTTAGCATCTCTCACTGGTAAAACTGGGTGACAGCTGCTACTGAGAATATATATTCCTTTCCTGTTTCAGGAGGAAAGGGTTGGTGCTGAAGGACAGCCTTTGCTTCCACTATAAGGCCCTCTTGGGTTGAGGTTTGTGGACATGGAGGATCCTGTTGACGGGCCCCCGTGCTGTGTAAGTTCTCCCTGCCGCCCTGCGGTCAGCCTCGTCGGGATTCGCATGTGCTTCAGTTTCTTCACTCTGTATGCTGGGGAGCGCTGAAAGGATGGGATATTACATGTCCTCAAAGCCACCAATTTCCCTTGCAGGAATTTACCCTAAGGAAATAACTGTGACCGTGAGTGAAAGGTGTAGCATTAGGATATTTATTGTTTATAACAGTGAAAAATCAGAAAGTACATAAATGGTCAAAAATGATAGATATGTTGATAAATTATGGCACACTCACGTAATGGACATACGATCATTAAAACCTGTGTTACAGAAATAGGTATATCCACACAAAAGGAGGTTCACAATATATAGTAAAAGCAGTACATACAATATGATCACACTTGCAAATATTTTATAAAGTCTATGTAGGCATGGAATGATTGGGATGTCCACCAAAATATATTTCTCTTTCAGCAGTTGGATTATAGGAACATTGCCTTATCTATATTTTCTACATTTACATCAAAGAATATGTTTTACTTTTGTCATATAAAAATGAAAGCCAGCTTTTAAAAAAACCCGTCAAAGGATTGGGAGAGGTTGAGTGGAAAGAATTGTGAAGACGAGGTGATATGTTTTAGCACTCCTTCTATGTCTTTCTGAAATCAACATAAGGGAGGGATGAACCATGTGCTCTTTTTCTTTTCTGGTGATGACAAATGCAGGAGTCTGTGACGGTAGAGACGATGACATAAAAAGTCACAGTTTCAACCATTCACTGTCAGAAATGGCCCATTCCAGACCACTACTGGGAGTGAGGATGACTGGATGTGGCTCCCATTTAGTCAGCAACTACTATATACTGGGCATTTCACATACATTCATTTCACTCTCACTACAACCCTGAGATGTAAGCATTATTACCTCCACTTTATAAATGAGGAGGTTGCAGCTCAGAGAGGTTCAATAACGTGACGGCTGCTGCCATGTAGCTAGTAAATTGCACAGCCAGGACTTCCACCCACTCTGCCCCTGCTCCTTCAGCTCCATCCCTTTGACTACATTGGCTGCCTAGTTTCATTGACGTGTCTACTCTAAGCATCTTCTAATGACTCTGCCCTGATTTTGCACAGTGGCCTCTTTTCTGGAGAAGTAGGCAGATGGACTTTTTTCTAAGCTTCAAGCAAAGTTCATGTTAACAGAACTTTCTCAGCAGTAACTTCTTCTAGCCACAGACTCTCCTGTGGTTCGGACCCAGAAAGTTAGAAAGTCAGGGAACAGCAGGCATCTATGTTTATTTGATAAATTAGGGAATGAGCTCCAAAGATTGCGGACTGCAAAGGAGAAACCCAAGTAACTGGTTCCAAGAAGGCTCCTCGGTCCTTTTGGGAAGGTTGTCTGAGGTACTGATTGTGCTGGCCTCCCCTCCCTTTACCAGCTGATGGAACTCTCCCAGTGATGGAAGGCCTTTCCTTCTCCATCCTCCCAGACCCTACGAGAAACAGTAGCCTTCTTCTGGCTCCCTCAGCCTCATTAGAGCTGCTTCTCAGTGGTAACATGTTGTGTCTGAAAGGCCATGAGCTATAGAGAAGATGAGGCCAGGTTCAAACTTTAGTTTTTCTCATACCAATGCCTGACTTCAGGGAAATTAATGAATGACTCTGAGCCTTAGTTTGCTCATCTGTAAAAGTGGGGATGATAGATAGGGTATACTTAGATATAAGAATTAAATGAGGACATGTACATATATATACATATACATATGCACTTAATAGAATAACAGGTACTCAAATTTTCATTTTCTTTCAGTCCTGTCAAAGAGTTGATCATTGTCTGATTTCTCAGAGAAGAAGGACTTTGTTGCTACAATGCCAATGAGCCCCGGCCTTAACGGCCGGAAAGATGGTGGTCCTGGCACCTCTAATTGCTCTGGTGTATTCTGTGCCGCGACTTTCACGATGGCTGGCCCAACCTTACTACCTTCTGTTGGCCCTGCCCTCTGCTGCCTTCCTACTCATCAGGAAACTGCCACTGCTCTGCAATGGTCTGCCCACCCAACGCAAAGACGGCAACCCATGTGACTTTGACTGGAGAGAAGTGGAGATCCTGATGCTTCTCAGTGCCATTGTAATGATGAAGCACTGCAGATCCATCACCGTGGAGCAATAGATAGGCAACATTTTCATGTTTAGTAAAGTGGCCCATGCAGTTCTTTTCTTCCGCTTGGATATTCGCATGGGCCTTCTTTACATCACACTCTGCGTAGTGTTCCTGATGATGTGCAAACCCCTACTATATATGGGCCCTGAGAATATCAAGTACTTCAATGCTAAAACCATTGATGACGAACTAGAATGGGACAAGAGAGTCACTTGGATTGTGGAGTTCTTTGCCAATTGGCCTAATGACTGCCAATCATTTGCTCCTATCTATGCTGACCTCTCCCTCAAGTACAACTGTACTTGAGGGCTAAACTTTGGGAAGGTGGATGTTGGACGCTATGTTGATGTTAGTACACGGTACGAAGTGAGCGCATCACCCCTCACCAAACAACTCCCTACGCTGATCCTGTTCCAAGGTGGCAAGGAGGTAATGCAGCAGCCGCAGATTGGCAAGAAAGGACGAGCTGTCTCATGGACCTTCTCTGAGGAGAATGTGATCCGAGAATTTAACTTAAATGAGCTATGCCAGGGAGCCAAGAAGCTATCAAAGGCTGGAGACAATATCCCCAAGGAGCAGCCTGTGGCCCCAAGCCCCACCAGTGTGTCAGATGGGGAAAGCAAGAAGGACAAATAGGATCCTCACCTTGGCAGTGCTTCCTGTCCATTCCAGGCTCCTTCCATAACCACAAGCCTGAGGCTACAGCCTTTTATTTATGTTTTCCGTTTGGCTGTGACTGGGTGGGGCAGGGTGCGGCTTCTGATTTTTAAAGAGGCATCTGGGGAATTGTCAGGCACCCTACTAGAAAGCCTGCCATGCTGCGGGCAAACTGTTTCACTGGAGCAAGAAAGAGATCTCATATGGTGGAGGAGGACATGGTTGCCCTCCAACATTGGGCCAGTGTGTTAACTGCTTATCAATGATTCAGACATCTCCATGGTTTCTCCATGAAACTGTGGTTTTGAAGAGGGAGACCTAGGCATCTCAGATCAACTTCCAGTTTTCATATGTGATTCCTAATACTGTAAACCGAAACCTTTTCATATGTAATTCCTGAGACTGTAAACCAAAACCTTTTTGATATGCAATTCCTGAGACTGTAAACTGAGACCCTTTTCATATGTAAAGCTATAAACCTAAGATTCTTCCACGTGTAACATCTAAAGTATAAGCCTATATAAAGGCAGAACCTTCCTTTGTTAGGGGAGCTTGGCTGTTAGGCAACTATGCCACCTTGCTCCAGGCCGAATAAACCCTCCTTCCTCCTGGATTTGGTGTCTGAGAGATCTGTTTGCCGCAGCCGCTCCTGCTACATTTTTGGTGCGTCGGCCGGGAAGTGAGTCTCGGATAGCAGACGGTGGGAAAAAGTCTCTTAGGTGGTTTGCCTAGCCCCGTGGAGCATCCCTACAGGGGGACTCCTGCTCGCTGGGGTGATGCATTCTGAGAGCGCTCCTGGGCAGGTATTTGCCTGGTGGAAAAGCCTTGCCAGAGCGGAGCAGGGAGGCCCTGCAGTGCGGATCCACCCAGTGGCTGAACACCGAGGAGGAACGAGTATTTTGGGAAGTCCCGAACACTGAATTTGGTAAGATTGAACCCGGGAAAGTAGCCCACCCCATTTGGTTGGAAGCATGGCCCGATCACCCACGGGTGCCAGATTGACACTTTTGAAGGTAGCTCTCTCTGTAACTAACTTTGGAAGCTTTTTGCTTATGGTTTCGAATTGTAAGGAGAGCAATCGGATGTGCGTCTGTGTGTGTAGATGTGTCCAGCCGGACTCATCAGTCGTAAAAGGTATTGGGCCCATTAGGAAAAGCCTCATGACATGGGGGATGGGGAGTTGGGGGGGATAGCATGGGGAGAAATGCCAGTTATAGGTGAAGGGGAGGAAGGCAGCAAATCACACTGCCACGTGTGTATCTATGCAACAATCTTGCATGTTCTTCACATGTACCCCAAAACCTAAAATGCAGTTAAAAAAATGAAAAATAAACTAAAAAAAAAAAAGAATTAGAGACAGCCACATAAGGCTGAGTGAAGAAGCCTCTGGGCATTGTAAAAGGATTGAAGTGAACGTAAATCGGAGAGTGCTCTGTGCTGCGTCTTACTAGGTGGGAACAGGAACTGCTGTGAGTGAACTAACTCTCTCCTAACAGTGGGAATTGTTTCTTTGAAGTGTTAATAGGGTCACTCCCTTAGCAAGCCCACCCCTTTAGAAACCATGCTGAAAATTTTGAAGAAGGGATTTAGTGGGAGTTATAAAGTAACTATGACACCAGAGAAATTAAGGGCTTTATGTAGAGAAGAACGGCCAGCATTTGAGGTCAGTTGGCCCCCAGAGGGGACCCTAGACAGGTCCCTTGTCTCCAAAGTAAGGCATGAGGTTATATACGGTGAACTAGAACACCTCAATCAATTTCCATACATAGACTCGTGGTTGCAGTTAGTTTTAAACCCTCCAAAGTGGCTAAGAGAGCAGGCAGCGACTGTTTTAGTAGCCAAGGGACAGACTGCTAGAAACCACCATCCCCCTCACTGCTGAGAGATGGGGACTCCTAAGGTCCAGGCAGATTCAGAGGCAAGAACAACTCCTAAGGTTTTGGTCGACCCAGCAGCAGAAGAGTTTTTGTCGATAACACCTCCCCCTCCTCCTCAAGGACTCCCTGCCCCAGGGCTGGAAGCCTTGGCATCCCCACCAGAGCCGCACACCCCTAAATCCCCCAGACAAAAGAGAGTGTGGAAAAACTCCACCAATTGCTGCCCACTTCCTGGAGGAAACTCCCCCTCTGGCAGCCCGTCTGTGACCCAAGGCCGGGGTGCAGATGCCTTTAAGAGGTACATGGGAGTGGACGAGGATGGCCACGTGGTAGAAAGGCGTGTTTTCACATACCTACAGTTCACCTCGGCTGATTTTATCAATGGGAAAAGTAATAACCTGTCTTATACCAAGAAACCCCAAGCTCTCAATAATACTGCAAACTATTATTCAGACTCATAACCCCATTTGGGCTGATTGCCATCAGCTGCTTATGCATCTTTTTAACACAGATGAAAGGCAGAGAATACTCCAAGCCACTTCTAACTGGCTGGAGGAGCATGTTCCTGCAGATTACCAGAACCCCCAAGAGTATGTCAGGGTCCAGTTACCAGGAACTGACCCCCAGTGGGATCCAAACACCCTGGAGAGCATGCAAAGGCTAATCCGGTACAGAGAAGCCTTGCTGGAAGGATTTTAAAAAGGGGCCCAGAGAGTAACAAACAATAAAGTCTCTGAGGTTCTTCAAGGAAAAGAGGAAAGCCCTACCCAATTCTATGAAAGGCTGTGTGAAGCTTACCACATGTACACTCCTTTTGATCCTGAAAGTCCCGAAAACCAACATATGATAAATATGGCATAAGTTAGTCCATGTGCAGAAGACATTAGACGAAAATTGCAGAAACAGGCAGGATTTGCATGCATGAATACCTCACAGTTATTAGAAATAGCTAACCAGGTGTTTGCAAACTGAGAAACGGTGAGCCAGAAGGAAAATCGTAAAGAAAGGGAGCGCCAGGCTCAGCGGAATGCCGACTTGACAGCTGCCACGATTAAAGGAGCGCCCCCAAGAGGCCGGGAAGAGAGGGGTTCCTGGAAGGACTCCCAGTCTGCCCGTCCATGCCTACAACGCAACCAGTGCGCTTTTTGTCGGGAAATAGGACATTGGAAGGAAAAATGTCTACGGTTAATGGGAAAACAGGGAGACCCTGAGCAGGAGGCTTCAGACAAAAGCAAAGGGGCTCTGTTCAATCTAATGAAAGGACCATTGGACTGAAGGAGACCAGGCTCCATTGCTCCCAAGGAGCCCATGGTCAGGAAGACAGTAGGGGGCAAGGCCATTGACTTCCTCATCGACACAGGCGCTGAATATTCGGTGGTAACCACCCCGTGGCCCCCCCATCGAAGAATACAACCGACATTGTTGGAGCTACTGAGGTGTCAGAAAAACAATCCTTCTGTTTGCCTTGGACTTGTGAGCTGGGGGGCATGCAGTGATTCACCAGTTCTTATACATGCCTGATTGCCCTTTGCCCCTGCTAGGAAGGGATCAGCTCAGTAAGCTACGGGTGACCCTAACCTTCACAGAGAATGGCATCTTACTGTTGGCATTGCCTAAAACTGGGGTCATAGTGGCCCTCAGAGTGCCTCGTGAGGAAGAGTGGAGACTCTTCTTAACCAAACCAGACCAGGAAATAGAGCCTGAGTTAGCAAAACGATGGCCTAGGGTCTGGGCAGAGGACAATCCACCTGGGCTGGCAATTAACCAGGCCCCTGTACTCATTGAAGTAAAGCCTGGGGCTCAGCCAGTTAGACAAAAGCAGTATCTAGTTCCCCAAGAGGCGCTAGAAGGCATTCAGCTCCATCTAAAATGCTTAGAGGACTATGGAATTATAGTTCCTCGTCAGTCTCCATGGAACACCTCCCTCTTGCCTGTTCTCAAACCAGGGACCAACGACCACAGACCAGTACAAGACTTGTGCCTGGTCAATCAGGCCACAGTGACTTTGCACCCAACTGTGCCTAATCCATACGCACTGCTGGGATTATTGCCAGCAGAGGATGGTTGGTTCACCTGCTTGGACTTAAAGCATGCTTTCTTTAGCATCAGGCTGGCTTTTGAAAGTCAAAAACTATTTTGCATTTCAATGGGAGAAACGCAGAAGCAGGTGTAATCACTCAATACACCTGGACCCAGCTTCCCAGGGGCTCAAAAACCCTCTCATCGTCCTTGGGGAGGCATCAGCCTGTGACCACCTCCCAGAAGCTTCTTGCTTGCATGCTGCCCCGTATGCTGATAACCTTCTATTGGGACACCCCACGGCAGTCGGGTGCGCAAACAAATGCCTTACGTCAGCACCTGGAGGACTGTGGGTATAAAGTGTCTAAAAGGAAAGTCCAGCTTTGCCAAAAAGCAATGCAGTATCTGAGGCTCACCATCTGGAAGGGAACGCAGCCTAGAAGCAGAGAGGAAGCAAGCCGCTTGCAAAGTGACAGAACCTGAGACTAAAAGGCAGGTGAGAGAGCTCCTGGGAGCGGTGGGTTTTGTAAATTGTGGATTTCCCAACTTCACAGTACTAGCCAAACCCCTCTATAATGTGACAAAGGGTGGAGACAAGGAGCCCTTTGACTGGGGATCCCAGCAGCGCCAGGCCTATCAGGAACTGAAAATGAAACTAATGTCAGCTCCAGCTTTGGGGCTGCCTGATTTAACAAAGCCCTTCACATTATATGTGGCAGAAAGAGAAAAAGTGGCAGTTGGGGTCCTAGTCCAAACAGTAGGACTTTGGCCCAGGCCTGTAGCTTACCTCTCCAAGCAGCTGGACGAAGTTCCCAAAGGATGGCCCCCATGCTTAAGGGTCCTGGCAGCAACTGCTCTAATGAATACCAGAGGGCACCACTGGTTATCAAATGTTAGGCTGACCAAATACCAGGGCCTGCTATGTGAAAATCCCCGTATCACCATTGAAGTCTGCAACACCTTGAACCCCGCCACTTTGCTCCCAATGTCAGAGGGTCCGGTTGAACACAACTGTGCTGAAGTCCTGGACACAGTCTATTCCAGCAGGCCTGACTTCGGGACCAGCCATGGACAGTAGCAGACTGGGAATTGTATGTGGTTGGGAGCAGCTTTGTCAATCCATGAGGGGAAAGATGTGCAGGCTATGCCATGCTAACTCTGGACACTGCAATCGAGGCCAAATCCCTGCCTCAGGGCACCTCGGCTCAGAAGGCTGAACTCATTGCTTTAACTCAAGCCTTAGCGCTGAGTAAAGATAAGGTTGTAAACCTTACACCGACTCTGGATATGCCTTCCCGACTCTCCAAGGACATGGAGCACTGTACAAAGAGAGGGGCCTGTTAACTTCAAGGGGAAAGAAATAAAGTATCAGCATGAAATTTTGCGACTGCTAGAAGCAGTCTGGAAGCCCCGGAGGGTGGCGGTCGTGCATTGCCGAGGACATCAGCGGGCCCACACCTCCCGGGCCCTGGGAAATTCCCAAGCTGATTCAGCAGCTTGTAAGGCAGGATGTGCACCCTACTGAATAGCAGTTACAGCCCTGCTCATTCCCCAGATCCCTGATCTAATACCTACTTACTCTAAGGAGGAAAGAGACTTTCTCCAGACAGAAGGGGGCAACTGACTAAAGAAGAATGGATCAAACTGCCAGATGGAAGAATAGCAGTACCACAGCTGCTGGGGGCCGCAGTTTTACCAGCCGTACATGAGACCACTCATTTAGGTCAAGAGTCACTTGAAAGGATGCTGGGCCGGTACTTTTACATCTCACACTTAGCAGCCTTAACCGAAACTGTGGCACAGCGATGCATTACGTGTTGGCAGCACAACGCGAGGCAGGGTCCAACTGTTCCCCCTGGAATTCAAGCTTATGGGGCAGCTCCATTTGAAGATCTCCAGGTAGAATTTATTGACATGTCCAAGTGTGGGGGACATAAGTATTTGTTGGTCCTGGTGTGCATATACTCTGGATGGGACTGAAAGAGCCCATGAAGGAACCCGTGTGCTGCTTCGAAATCTTATCCCTAGGTTTGGACTGCCACTGAACATCGGAGCAGACAGTGGACCAGCATTTGTGGCAGATTTAGTCCAGAAAACAGCAACGACCTTGGGTATCACCTGGAAACTGCACGCTGCCTACCGACCTCAGAATTCCGGAAAAGTGGAAAAAATGAACCGGATCATCAAAAACAGCTTAGGGAAACGAGATTAGAGTGGGTGCAGGCACTTCCCTTGGGGTTATTCAAAATTAGAGGCACCCCCTTTAGGGAAAACAGGATATTCCCCTATGAAGTCTTATACCATAGGCCTCCTCCCTTACTCTGGGCACACCTAGAAACTCCTCGGGAGTGGGGAGAGATTGAGTTAGGATGCTAGTTACCAGCTCTAAGGAGAATCACTTAGGATACTTCAACCTGAGTAAATAACAAATGTCCTGTAAGCCTTTTTCTCCCCAGTTCACCCTTTCTCACTAGGTAATCACGTGTGGATAA